ATTGGATTACAACGAGAATCTCAGTTAAACAAATTTATCAAAGTTCCCACATTGTATCCAAACTTGTTTAAATGTCTTTACCTAGACAGAATTAGTAGTTGGCATCTTTCTTCTTCTTCTTTTAATTATCATGATTTGTTTTTTGGAAAATGTGTACACGCACACTGGCCACTGTCAGGTGGCATCTTTAACCAGCCCCTCAGTGGACACCTGGCATAGAGGCACGGAATGGCTGTCCCGTACGCCTAGTTTCTTTCCCTGCTGCTAATAGTTAATAACTGGGCCGGGGATGATTCCTGTTACTCCCTCTCCCTGCCTGCTCTGCTGCCCTTGGACCCCTTCCCAGTTTCTGAACAGAGTCTGGGCCCCTGAGTGGTGCTCACCCAGCCACCCGCTGCCCCTGTCCCGAAGCTACCCCTGCAGGGCCTGGCGCGGGGTCTCCGGGAGGACCCTAGGCCTGCTTCATGGTGAGTGTGCGTCTGTCCCGCCCTCTTAGTTTCTTTTCCTCATGAGAACAGAACCTCCAATATCAGAGAAGCATCCTCTGTGGAGGAGTGATCCTGTCCTTCCCCCACGGTCAGTGTGGTCCCGAGGGCTGGTGCTGCCCGGCGTGGGCCTGGGCTGGGCTGGGCCTCACTGTGGTCCCTCAAGTCTCCTCTCTCTGTCCCCATTTCTATTTGTGCAAACTCTGGTTGAGATGACTGTCACAGGAAGTCTGGACCAAGAAAAGACATCACAGAAAGGCCGTGCCGCAGGGGAGGGAGGGAGGACAACCGCTCAGGGGTAAGCGTGGCCCCCCTGGGCTGCTCTAGCACAGTCCTCAGGCCACGGCTCCACAGGAGGGAAGTAAAGGAGCTGACCCTTCAGGGATGCTCATTTGCCCTTCCAAGACCCTGCACCTAATTTCGTATTTGTAATTGCATACTTTTTTCTTAAAGAAGCATCTCCAAATTCTACAGGCTTCAAGACGCCCAAACCAAAGTCAGGCCTTGCTGCTAGATGGTTTGGAGCCACGTTTCTCCTGCTCCCCCTCCCAGGACTGCTCTCTACACATTTCTCCTTCCCCGACTCGCAGGGCTCCAGCCACTGGGCTCCCTGTTCTTTGAACACACCAGGCTGTGGCCAAGACATCAGGGCCTTTGCATTGGCTGCTCCCTGCCAGCTGCTCACCTCCGCTGGTCTGTCCTCCCGCGGTACCTCCCCACTGAGGCCTGCGCTGGGCTCCCTGTTTAAGGAGGAGTCAATGGCTCCTTCCATGCTGTGCAGGTTCCTACCCTCCCTACGCTGCTAAGTTTCCCTATCATCTATGATCTGGTTATATATTTTCTGCCTCCTCCCACCAGCATGTAAGTCCCACTAAGGAAGGGAAATTAAAAATCTGTTTTGTTCAGATCTCGCAAACTTAAAAAAGAAAAAAAAAAAATAAGAAAAATATTTTAAAAAAATTTAATTTAAAAAAAAAAAAAAAAAATCTGTTTTGTTTACTGATGCAATCCGAGCACCTAGTGCATAGTAATCACTGGTTAATATTTTTCTAATAACTGCATGAAATTGCAAGGCCCGAGGCAAGCATACTGAGGACAGCACTGGCCAATACGCATCCAAATGAGAGAGAGAAAAAAAATCTGCTTCTCAGAGGCAACTTGGCTTTGCAGGCTGGGCCAGGACCTTGGACCATGGGCCAAGGCCACGGATGCTGGTACATCCTGTCCCTGCCGGTCTGCCTCAGTGCGCATCACTTGGCTCCTGACAGTGCTGCCGCCTAGGAACTCACCAGAAATGCGGAGGCTGGGATGGGAGAGGGGCTGGAGCCTGCCCAGGCTGTGTCGGTCTCACTGGTGCTGGGGACCATGGGACTTTTCATGTGTAGTGTTCAGTCCTCGAAAGGGGGGGGGGCAAATACTAACATAGCAAAGTGCTGAATTGCCTCAGTAAAGGACAGAGATGTTTACTCAGAACTGGTGCTAATTTCCTGCCTTTGCCGTGGCCTCTGGCCTGGGAGGTGCACATCTGGCAGACACTCGCTGGCCCGATCGGAGGACACGGTGCAGGAGTCCCAGGGAAGGATCGTCTCGTGTCGTTCTAACCCCACGGGGACACATCACTGATTGGTATTTACCCTGGCGCCAGGAAGAGGGTGTGTGAATACGAGGTACAGGGTGTGGGTGACACCGAGAAGCCCACGGAGCTGGGGGTCCACAGTCAGCCAGCCAAGACCACCCCCTGCAGACAATGCTGATGACAGCATGACAATCCCGGGCTTTATATAGTAAATAGTTCACAGTCGCCAGAGCTCTGTGTCATTCTCTATTTCTTTCCATAATCATCCAAACCTGTAAGAAAGACAAAGCAGGAGCAGTCATCCATTTTCCACAGGAAGAATGTGAGGCTCAAAGGTTAAGTGAGGCACCAGGGTACAGAGCTGGCCCACGTCAAAGCTGAGCCGGCTTCTGCGTTCACAGCTGCACCCTGCCCTGTGTGCTTAGTGACATGAGCTCCTGACACCTCTGGGCTTAGCACTTGCACCTTCAACTATTTCCTAGAAACCTCCAAGGCCCCTAAGTGCAGCGACTTACCCCTGCACTGCAGCTGAATTTGAACCTCCCTCTGGGAGGCCAGCTCGTGGGAGCCAGTCGCTCAGCTGGCCAGAGAGCTGGCTGGCCTCCGGGGCCCACAGTGCACTTGGTGTGCCACTGTTTAATCACCGTTGTGGGCACCCTAACCCTCCTGTGATAATTTAAAAACAAAACCAAAAAATTTGTTTCTTTTTGAGAAATGGCCATCAACTAAGAGCAAAAATCCAAGAGGCAATGGGTACATATGAAGTTAGTGATCAGGAGTGTGGCTGCCTGCCTTCTGCCGTGCACTTGCCAGGTATTGGATGTTGTGTTAAGTGCTTTACATATATTGTCTCGTTTATATCTCCCCATTCAACAGACAGGGAAACTGAGGCCCAGAGAGGTTAATTAATTGTCTAAAGCCTTAGAGTAGGTAAGTGGTGGAGTCCAGACTCAAATTTTGAATCTGTGTGGCCAAAGCCTGTGCTCTGAAGCTCTGCTTTGTACTGCTCTTCCTTGGAAATGTGATCTAGAAGCTTGTGTGGCCCCCAACGACATTTCTGAACTCACACACCTGCAGACTCAGAAAGGTCTCAGCATGTACCTCCTCTCTCGGTCTCTCTCTGTCTTCCTGTTCTTCCCCCTCTCTCTTCCCCCAGTAATTTCAGAGCCTTCTTCTCCTACCTTCTCTTTCTTGGGCTGACCTGGGAATTCAAAATCCTTCTCTTTTGATCTTACAGAATAATCCATTCATTCAACAAATAGTATTTGGATGCCTGTTTTATGCCAGGCCCCGCTGGGCACAGGGGTGGGGGAGGAACGGAAGGGAACACAACAGATGTGGATCTCTGACTGCCTGTGGAGTTCGTGCTAGTAGAGGACAAACCAAAATCAAATACACAAGGGTAAAGGCAGGCAGGATAAGGCTGCGAGGGAATAAGGTGCAAGGAAGGGGAGAGGGGAGTGATGGGGCTGCTGTCTGAGATGTGGGATCAGGGAAGGCCTCCCTGAAGAAACAGCTTTTGGGCAGAGCCCCGAGTCAAGTGGGCCAAGTGGGTCAAGTGAGCCGTGGCATTGCCAGAGGAAGAGCATACCCAGGGTGGGCATGAGCTTGGCCTGGGGTCACCAGATTTAACAAAAAGGAGGAGGAAAACAAGAAAAGAAAAAAAGAAAAATTGGACACCCAGTGAAATTTGGATTTCAGATAAACAACAAATAATTTTTTAGTAGAGGTCCCACATAAAATTTGGAAAATACTTGTCTTAGTCTTAGTCCATTGTGCTGCTATAACAAAATACCCTAGACTGGGTAATGTATAAAGAACAGTCATTTATTTCCCAGGGTTCTGGAGGCTGGGAAGTCCAAGATCAAAGTGCCGCAGGTTCAGCGTCTGGTTGAGGGCTGCTCTCTGCTTCCAAGAAGGCCCCTTGTTGCTGTGTCCCCTGGAGGGGATGAATGCCGTGTCCCCACACGGTGGAGGAATGGCAAAGGGGTGACGGGGAACTAACACTGTGTCCTCACATAATGAAACAGCAGAAGAGGAGCAAATTTACTCCCTCAAGCCCTTTTATAAGGGCCCTAACCCATCCATGAGGGCTGCTACACCTTCATCACTTAATCACCTCCTAAAGGCCTCACCTCTTAATACCGTTGCATTGGAGATTAAGTTTCACCATGAATTTTGAAACTGTAACATTGCTTACACTAAAACAATTATTTGTTGTTTATCTAAAATCCACATTTAACTGGCAACCATGCATTTTATCTGACAACTGTAGCTGTGGGTGTTTAAGGAGTAGCAAGGAGGCCAGTGAGGCCAGAACGGAGGAGGCAAGAAGATGGAGGGAGATGAGGATGGGAACCCTGGGGAGGGGAAGGTGATCGACATCTCAAACCCAAAGAAGCTGGCTAGGTGTGCCTTCTGTCCTCTCTGTGGGATCCTCTGACTGTCCAAAAGAAAAATGCATGCTAAGGGCCATGAGAGAAGAGATGGTAGAGAGTATAGCACAGGGGCAGTTAACCCAGCTTGAGTCCTGAAGTCACCTGTGTCTGCAGCATCTCTTCTCCAAAAAAGGTAAAACTCTTTGGAACCTCCAGGGGTCATCTCGATCTTGGCTCCTTCCCCCAGCAGAGCAGCTGGATCCCGAGCAGACCACCCAAGGGAGGCAGTGCGGGAACATGAGCTAGGAGCCCAGAGATTAAATCGTGGACAGTGCCAGGGCCTCCCCATCTCCTCCCTGCGCTTGGTACACTGGCACATATGACATCAGATGGTAAATGTCCCCTCTCCATTCCCAAGACCTGGAACCTGAAGGGACCTTGAGACACCCCCTCCCCTACCTACACACACACACACAGAGAGAGAGAGAGAGAGAGAGAGAGAGAGAGAGAGAGAGAGAGAGACTGTGAAATTGGGTCCAGGCGCTACAACTGGATCTGGATCTCTTCCCTTTCTTGTAAATAATGGCCTGGTAAGATTACTGCATCTGGCACGTAGCAGCTGCCCAATAAATGTTGCTAAATGAATAACCCTGACATGAGTGGCTGCATTCCCAAGGTTCTCCCAGCGTTAGATTTTCACTTTCAAACCAACAGAAAAGGAAGCAGGGCCGCCTGAGCGGGGCGTAGAGAACTAGGAGCAAGCTGTTCCCCGCCCTTCCCAGGGCAGACGTTGTTGCTTCATCGCTGACTGAAACGTCGATGGCCGGGGAGGCAGCCAGCCCCGGCACAGCGGCCGCCTTATAAGGACATTGGCCGGGCCTGCCAGGTGTGTCATCCCGGCTGGAGAGGCGGCCAATGGTGGCCCGTGAGTCAAGGCCTGGGCGGGTAAAGCATCCTCAGGAAGTCATACAGGCAGAAAGTGAGAGTTTTCTCACTTCCCTCCCCCCTCCATGTTTCCATGTGTTTTAAATTATTATCCCATCTGCCGTTTACCTCTGCAACTGGGAAAACAGAGAAACGGATTTTTGAATTAAAACAAAGGTACTCATAAGCTGTTACGTCACTAGCAAAGAGAAGTCCCTCTCTGCTTTTTTGGGCGGGGGGCACTGCTGAAATGAAGAAATTGCATGTCTGCGGGAAGGTCTCCTGGAGAATTAATACACAGTGGTCCATCCGTGGCAAGGCGATATCTGGCAGCGATGGAGGGCTGCCCCGGCCCCAGGGCAGCGCTGGAGTCTCCTGGGCCAGCCTCTGCCCCAGGCTCCTGTTGAGAGGAGGACTCGATACCAGCAAAGGCAAGCCGGGAGTGGGCAGGGGGCCTTGGAGAAAAACGGTCCTTCGGAAAGGGAAGAGGACAAAGGAAGGGGCAGTGGGCCTGACCAGAGGGGGCAGAGAATCGTGGTTAAGAAATTAGGCTTGAAATCTTACAGACCTGGGTTTTGAACCTGATTCGCCCACTTCAGCTGGGTGGGCTAGAGCAAGTTAGTCCATGTAAGTCTCAGTCACCCCATGTGAAATATTTCTCCATAGCACGCCAATGCTTTCCTCACATGAACTCACCAAATTCTCATACCCAACCAATGAAGTAGATTCTGTTACTCCCCTCACTCTACATATGAGCAGAGTACATGCCCTAGGTCGCACAGGTAGTGACCGGCAGAACTGAAATTTGACCCTGGGCAGGCAGGCACCAGCCCGAGCGCTTAGGTTGGTCTAAGACATGCTGCTGAGAGGTTAGAATCACACCCGCCTCACCTGATGGAGCGCTGGAGGACTAAGTGGACCAGGGGGCTCGTGAAAAGCTCTTATTTCTGCACCTTACACGCGGTAAGTACTCGGTGAATGTCACCTACCATCATTTGTCTCTTATTTGTGGAGGATTACCCAGAAGCAGACCCAGAGAGGAAGGTTCCTGCACAAGTAAGTCGGGAAGACGGGCTCCCTGAAGAATCTGGTTTGGCAGTGGGAGAAGCAGGCCTGGGAACAGGAAGCAGCCAAGCAAGGGTGTGATCGCAGGCACAGTCCCACAAGGGAGAGACTTGTGACTTTGTCCCCATCGAGGCAAGGGGGCTGGGCCCTGTGCTGACAAACTGCAGTCCCTGGCTGAGGGGTGCCCCGAGGAGACAGACACTCCCAGGCAGGTGTGGGCCCTGCGCACACGGGCACAGCAGTCTGCTAACCGCATGGCGGTCTTCCAGAGACAGTCCAGGGTATGGGGCCGTCAGAAGCAAAAGCACCAGAAAGCGCTGGTGGACTTCACAGAAACAGCAAAACCGGACCCCAGGACCTCTGGGGGCAGCAGGAACTGAGCCCACTCAAGACTGCCCCGTGTACCTGCTCACGTCTTCCATGGGGTTCATGTCATCCTGCGTCCACCAGCTGAGTCTTTGAGAGGGCACACGGGGCTCATGGTTTCTGGGGAAAAACTAATGAAAGGAGAGTTAGTGGGACAACCTCACCACCCCCCTTTGCAGGTGGTCTCGCGGCTGTAGCTGATACTCACCCTCTCCCTCTGCTATCACTATTTCCAGACCCTCCTCACCCTCGGCAAGCACGTCTGCTGGTCTAGCTGGCTGGCTGGACTGTTGTCCCTGAAGGGTTTGTCCCCCGCCCTCTGGAGAACATGAGTCTTACCAGGGCATGCAGAGGTTTTGCCACTGTCAGCTTATCAGGTTTAATTAACATAAAGTTAATTGATCGATTGCTAAGTCAAAGGACAAAGTTTGTCTTTTTGGTTTCCTAACAAGGGAAAAGGATGAGATTCCATTAGCCACAGTCAAAGGAGCATGCCATCAGCGCCAAAAGAAATTGTAACTTGCAGTAGGTGACCTGGTGTGGTTAGGTAAAAAGGAAATCATTGATCAATAGGAGCCAGGGAGGCTTCTCTAAGAACAAGTCAGTCCAAGAGCACATTGGGAATGAGGAAAAGAGAAATTGGAAATTGGTTTATTTAGTTCTGGTAATAAGTACAAAAGCATGATTGAGAGAAGTATAGATGGAAGAGATAAAATGTCTATTATTTGTAGATTTCATTTATACAAACAATTCTTACCCATTGGTAGTTGAAAATTGAGTATAATTTTTTTCCCCTTTGCTGAAGTGGAAATAGATTGTGCAAATGTTATATTGTGGTTTCTTAGGAGTTAGTAAAAAGCTGGAGTCAAATCGCAGCACGAATTTCATGGAATATGAGGCCCTTCCATCAGGAGCTAAGGCATCAAGCCGAGGTCCCTCAGAATGAGAAATGACCCTTTGCGACAGCACATTCCCCACATCTAGCAGAGGTAAGTCCCTCAAATTACTCCTTTAAATAAGCAAGAAGAAAAAACTTTCCCCCACATTGGCAATATTTATTGGTTTTGCTGTTGTTACAAGTGTTTAATATAATAAACTCATAAAATCTTCAAAAATATGAAATAGAATGTGGAAGCCACTAGTAAGTCTAACTCAATCCAGTGATTATAACTGCTAATGGTTTAACATATTTTTTCACTTTTTTTCTTATTAAAGGCATGAAAGGAAGTATGCATGAATAAAATGAATAAAATGCTTTATAATCTGCCTCTTATTATATTTGAACATTTTTCCCTGTAAAAACATAGGTCTCTAGGGATTTGCTTTTTTCGTTTAACAATTGCATAATATTCCATTGTATGACTGCATAGTGATTTATTTAAACAAACCACTACTGGTGAAAGTTTGACTAATTTGCATTTTAACTATTATTAACAATGTTGCAGTTCACATAACTGATATTCTTTTACATACACTTGGTACCCTTATCTGATGATTATTCCTGTAGCACGAATTCCTACAAGTTCCTGGCATTGCTGGGTCAATGATTATAGAAATTCTAAATTTTGAATTATTATTGCTTAATTGCCTTCCAGAAAGTTTCTACAAATTTGCAGTCTCACCAGAAGTACATCAGACTACCTGTTTCCCCACAATCTGGAAACAGTAGCTTTGATTGTTTACAGTAAAAGGAGATTGAGCAACTGCCCCATGTTTAATGGTCATTTGTATTGTTTCTCTTGGAAATTGTCTCTGGTCAATGTGAGGCTGCTATAGGAAGGAGATGCCAGAGCCTGGACTGAGGTCCGTACACAGATCGGAAAGGCATACAGAGGGGGGAACTACTGACTGTTTGGACGGGGTAGGGGGGGATGGTGAGTTTGAGTACTGGTGCCATTCACGGAGTTAGGAGGTGGAGGAGGAGAAGCAGGACTGAGTGAAGTTTAGTTGAGAAGTAGGCACCTATAGGTCTACCCGTGAATATGCCCAGAAGGCAGCCACAGCACATTCATGGGTGCAAAGATTTTGAGCCAGCTCTCAGCTGGACCTCCAGAGGTGAGAGGCATCCGCCTGCTGCTGAACACTGAAATCTCGGACATGGATGTAGATACCCCTTGCAAGGTTAGAATGAGCCACAGGGCTGGCACAGAACAGGGAAGACCAACAGAGGAAGAGAGAGGATGGGAGACCAAGAATCCTGGGACACATGCCACCTCTCCCCAGGCCCTGAGATGCCACAATAGTGAGTCAAAACCAACCTAAGACTCACTCTTCCATTCATTTGGTGAACCCAAAGCTCAACACATCAAACCAACACTGGTTTATAAACGTGCTACCATAGGGAATCCAGCAGTTCTGTCCCCTGGTGTCATGGCTGCAAACCCATGCAAACTGTTTCTGCTCACAGCCAGTTCTTTATGGCTGAAGGGACCCAGCTTCGGCACAGGCAGTGTCTCCATGCCCTGGTTCACTCAGTGACTTTTGCACAATCCCACCCAATCAGAACTCTGCCTCCCTGAGCTCTGCTTCCTCAACATACATCTTCCCCCGCACAGCCCTATGGAGAGTACATTTCAACATAGGGAAGTGCATCATGTGAAGGAAAAAAACCAAACATACTCTCTAAGTGTTCGTGCTTTCGTTGAAATGTGGCACGTCCGCCAGCTTCCCAGGGCTCCCCGGCTGGGGTGTTGGGCTGGACTGGGAGTCAGATGGTGATGACTTATCCAAGCGCGTCCGGCTCTTGCCTAACAGAGAAGCAATTTTCAGCAAACATTAGGGAGGATTTGCTCTCCCTTTAGGATGATCCATTTTTCCACTGGGAAGCTGCCTTTCCAGAACCCTTACACTCTGGTCTGAATCACACTTTAAGAAATTAATTATTCACTGTTATACCACCAATCATGTTCCCATGATTTAAATTTAGAATTTAGAGTCCAAAAATTCCCTGAGGATCCAGAGGCCCTGATACACTTCTCCTGGATCCCCTGCACCCAGGGGGGCCCTGGATGGAGTGCAGCGGGTCAGGAAGCGCGGAGCACAGGGGCCCACAGACCTCATCCCTGGGAGCATCTAGTGTAACCCCTTACAAATAGAGAAACCGAAGCCCACAAGGCTCAGCAGTGGGGCAGCCACACACCCACAGATGACAGGTCCAGGACTGTTGCACAAGGAGGGAGGTGAAGCAGTGTGGTGACTGATCGAGAGGGTGGATCTGCTAGGCCTCCTTCACGTACCAGCCATGTGCATATGAGAAAGTTACCACACCACCTCTGACTCCTCCTCTCTAAAGCAGAGACGGTAGGTGAACCAGAGCTCAGGGCCGTGTGAAAACCAAATAGGCAGATCCATGGAAAGCTCAGGGCACAAGGCCTGGAATAGAATACATGCTCCATGAATATCATCAAAAGGAAAAAAAGATAACTTCAAAAGAAAAACATATTTCTTGAAGTAGTTGCTACCTCCAAGTATTTAGTACAAATGTGTTAAATAACTTGACAATAACTTTTCCAGTCAATTCCACCCGTGCAGAGAATGCAGTGGGGAGTTGGGGGCTCTGGGTTCCCTAAGCACAGGACTGTTCCTTTGAGCCCTGTTGAGGCTGCACTCACACAAACATTGTCAGTCGGTGGCCCACAGCCAGGCCCGGCAGCTGCGCTGGAAATACCCCGAGTGGTGAAGTTATGCAACTAGACAGCAGACGGAGAAGTGGTCCACGCAACGCAGGAAAGCAAGAGGAGTGAGGACCATGAGCACAAAGCTTTTCCTTATTCACAAACTGTAGCTTTAGCTGAAATGCAAAGTCTCATCAAGCCTCATTTAGCTGTTTATGAGATACCATAAAATCACATTCGCTAGGCCTGTATTCTAGATCCAATCCTTCCTAATCATGTGGCCTTAGAAGTTAATGCAGACTTTTTTTGTGTTTAGTTTCATAATCCACCCTCCATCTGCAAAATGGGGATAATAATGGTAATTTATGGTTATTCCTTATGAATTGCTCTATTAACTTAAGAAAAATTCCTGTAAAATATTCGGAACAGATCTAGCACTTAATAAGCATTCTATAAATACTAGTTGTTATTGTTTTTTAAATAACTTCCCCTGTAGTTTGAATACAGCTGTAGAGTTTTTATTTCAAGAGCAAAATCCTGATAACCTGTTTCCACTTGGCCCGACTTAATCTGAACTCAATTAAAAACCAAAAGAGAATTGAATTTAGCATTCCATTTATGCGTAGAACAAGGGCTGGAAGGAAATGCACCTCAATTTAAACAGTGGTTGTGATGGGATAGGACTATGAGTAGATTTTGTTCTTTCTTTTCATATTCTATATTTTCCATCAACTATTTTTATAGTTAAAACCAATCATTTCAGACAAGAGGGACATCATGAGCTATTTGTGGGAAACATCTTCTATCTGCTGCTTTCTGTAGGCAGAGACAAAGGAAGGGGCTCCAGCTTGGTTTGGGGAAAGTTCCAGTGCTGTTCTCTTGGCTTGGAATAAGCCTCCTACCTCGTCTAATGTTGAGATTCTACCTACTTGGGCCCCTCCCCTCCTGGTGCCTCCCAGCCTTCTGCCTCCTCCCACCTGCAGCCTCACCTGGTGCAGGTTGGTTGGTGAGGAGGGGACAGGTGGCCTCACTCCCCAGAGCCCTGCCACTCTTTGGACCCAGGCTGGGTTCTGCTGGTTGCCCTCTTTGGCTGAGGTAGTAGCCTGTTGGCATCTAAAGGTGGCATCAACAGGTGGCATCACCTGTTGATGCCACCTTTGCATCCTTGCCTCATCACCCTGCCCGCCACGACAGGCTTCTCCTGTTTCCAGAACTTCAGCAACTGCTGCATCCTTCTCTTCCTTCCATAGGCAACGCTGCTGTCCACATGCAGGCGTCATCTACCTGTCCAAGTTTTTTTTTTTTTCTTTTCTTTTTTTTTTTTTTTTTTGGCTTATTTGTTTGTTTTACAGTATGATTCCATCAATACAGAGTCCAAAAACTAGCAAACTAGACCATATTTGCTGCAGGATGTATATGTAGGTGGCTTATTATAAAGAGCAGTGATCATATCTATGGCACCATTCTAAGGACTTCATATACTTTCATCACATTTAATCTTTTAACAACCTTATCAGTTGGCATTCTGTTATCTTCCAAACTTCCCGTCATGTGGCCAAAGCCCTCGGGAAATCTTTCAGAAAAATCCACTAGGAAGACCAGGGCAAGACACAGCCCAGAGCAGCAAAGCCAGAGCCAGGGAGGGCCGGGGAGGTTGGGGTGGGGCGGGCACAGCCTTGCCTCTTCCGTGCTGGTGCTCGTGTCCTGCCTGACCTGTCACCCCCCAGTGCCTGACCCTCATCTCCACACCATCTGAGACCCTCATGGGCACAGCGGGCCGTGGGACCTCTGCCTCCATCAGAGCCCTCACTCATTCTTTGCTAGAAGGTGGGGAAAGGCCTTAGTCCACTGCATCTACCGCCGCCCAGCGTGAGGCTCCTGCTCTTTCATAGGGACTCTCAAGTGGTGAGGCCCTTGACTCTAGAGTCTCACCCTAGCCCGGCCTGAGGCCGGCGGGCCCCTGCGAGGTGTTGTGTTCTTCTCACAGCCTCTCCCTCCTTGCAGGGGCCCCACGGGGTTCCATGAGCATTCCATGAGCAATGACTGCTGGCTTCTGGGGAGGTCTTTGCCGGCTCTACTTGAGGACTCGGCGGCATTGCCTGACGTGTCTGCTGATGATGACATTGGAATTCCCTCCACCTCCTGACCAGCTCCCACCCGGGGGTTTCAGTCCCGGCCCCGCACCTCCCATTCTGCTCATCCTCCCTGGGCCCCTCAGCCGCTTCCGGTTCTGCTCACTCCCAGATGGGCAGCTCCTCCTGGCACCCCCCGCCCATCTCCTGACTGCCTGACAGGCTTCCTTCTGCTGCTGATACTCAGCGTCTTAGTTCGGTTTGTGTTGCTAAAACAGAATACCGCAGACTGCGTAATTTATA